CATCCTATTCTTATATTTATTTATTCACGTCAACAGGACCCACTCAACGACGAATATAATTTTATTTGATTTGACGACATAGATAATGAGAAAGGAATACGATTTTAAGTCCTATATCAAGATATTGAACGTTATTTACATCATAAAATAATAAAGAAATTTAAAAATAATCTCGAATGTGTTGGTCGGGATGCTAAAGATCAAATGGTTCAGCCGAGATTGAACCAGAGGGTGATTCTTCGACCCGATAATCAGTTCTTCCTATTGAACTTAGCCAAGCCAGTTCGAGTTTATAACATTGATTAGTAGGATATCAAACAACTTAGGTTGTGTGTCAGTGTTATAGGTTAGTTGCTTCATTGGGTTTCTGAGTTCTTGCTATTTCAATAGTGAAAGAACACAGTAATCAAATGGCTTATTAGCAAGCTGCACCTTACAACAATCGAACACCGTGTTCATTTTAGGCGTCGAACAAATAACTTCAGCATATCACATTATCTTCAGGTATTGAGGTAAAAGAGGAAATGCTGCAAGAAAATATGCCCGTAAGTCAGAAATGAATATTATGCTATATAATAATAATGGTTCCATCTTTACAATATATATACAAAGGGAAAATGGCTGAATTAACAACTACTTAACAACTCTAACAGAATGCTAACAAGATATTCTAACAGAATGCTAACGGCTAATATTCTCTAATACTGCCCCTCAAACTTAGAGTGTGGTTCTCTGTAACTCTAGGTTTGTCATGAAGAAGAAAGTGAGAGTTACTTAATGTCTTAGAAAAAATGTCAACAATTTGATCACAAGAGGGGACATGTTTGATAATGATCTGTTTTTGCATAACTTTCTCACGCATGAAGTATAGGTCCAGATCAATGTGTTTTGTCCTGGCATGAAGAATGGGATTTGCAAACATCAACACAGAGCTGAGATTATCACCAAAGAACAGGTGGATTGACTTGATCAATATGTAGCTCTTGTAACAAAGATTAGAGCCAAGATACTTCAGCAGTTAATGCAGCCATGCTTCGATACTCAGCATCGGTGCTACTCCTGGAAATTGTGCTTTGCTTCTTTGACGATCATAAGACCAAGTTATTTCCAAAGTAAAGACAATAACCAGTGGTTGATCTACGATCATCAGGGTCGGAGGCCCAGTCGGCATCACAAAAACCATTGATTTTAAGATGATTCGCACGAGTAAGATGCAGCCCGGAATGGAGTGATCCCTTGAGATAACGCAAAATTCGCTTTACTGTTTTCCAGTGAGATTCAAGTGGTTGTTGCATAAATTGACACACTCGATTAACAGAGTATACAATTTCAAGTCTGGTGATCGTGACATATTGTAGTGCTCCTACGATGCTCTTGTATAACTGCACGTCCTGGGTGGGATCACTGCCAAAAGAAGAGAGTTTTTCACCGCCACTCATAAGAGTAGGTAAGCTGTTGGCATATTGCATCTTGAATTTACAGAGGAGATCAGTAATGTACTTTGTCTGAGTGAGCAAAAGTCCGTTTGTGCTAGCTTCAACTTGAATACCCAAGAAACAGTTGATGGGGCCAAGATCTTTCATGGCAAACTTGGTGTTGAGATGCCGAACAAGCTTATTGATGTCTGCAGTGTTACTTCCGGTAACAAGGATATCATCGACATACACGAGAACAAACAAAGTGCTATGTGATGAGTGTTTGATGAATAGAGACTGGTCTGATTTAGCGAAGGTGAAGCCAAAGGCAGTAAGGGCACTCCCGAGTTTGTCAAACCATGCCCTTTGGGCTTGTTTTAGCCCATACAAAGCTTTATGTAATCTACACACTGCATTAGGAGCACTATTGTCCTCAACACTAGGCGGTTGTACCATGTAAATTTCTTCTTGAAGGTCACCATTAAGGAATGCATTGTTAACATCAAGTTGTTGAATATGCCAACTTTTAGATACATCATTGGTCAAAACAACGCGGATCGTCGTTGGCTTGATTATTGGACTAAATGTCTCAGTAAAATCAAAATCAGCAACTTGGTGGAAACCCTTAGCTACCAATTGGGCTTTATATTTGTGTATGCTCCCATCGGAATTTTCCTTCACTTTGTAGACCCATTTGCAGCCTATGGGTTTTCGATTTGGTGGGAGAGAGACAAGAGACCATGTCTAATTTCTTTGCAAAGCCAAATATTCATCCTGCATAGCTGATTTCCAGTGAGGAATAAGAAGAGCTTCATTAACAGCAGATGGTTCTTTGCGAGTCAGGAAGACTTTAGGCTTGAAAACTGCCGTTTTAACCCTAGTTTGCATGCCATGAACATTAGTAAGGGAGGGAGCTAGCTCTATGGATGGAGCAGGTGTGTGGGTAGGAATGTTTGAAGCTATAATTGGAGTAGGTTGTGGTGTGGCAATAGGGTGTGAAGGAAAGGTTTGGGTAGGAATGTTTGGAGTTAGAATTAGGTCATGATAGCCAACATGTGGTGCGTATGAGGGAATAAGAGAAAGAGGAACGTCTGGGTTAAGTGGTGACTCAGGTGCAGATTGTGGAGGAGTGGTATTAGGTTGCTTAGTAGCATAGGGAAAATTATGTTCATTGAATATGTCGTCACGAGAGATATAGATCCTGCCCTTGGGGTCCAAGCACTTGTAACCTTTATGTTTAATACTATAGCCATGGAATGTGCACTCAAGAGAACGAAATTGGAACTTATGCTTGTTGTAGGGCCTGATATTAGGAAAACATGAGCAACCAAACACCCTGAGTTGGCTATAGTCAAGTGGTTTGTTGAAAAGAACTTGAAAAGGAGTTTTTCTCGATAAAATAGAAGATAGGAGCCTGTTAATAAGATACACCACAATGCGAACAGATTCATTCCAAAATCTAAAAGGTAATGACGCATTAGCAAGAAGAGTGAGAGCTAATTCAATGATGTGCCAATGCTTTCTTTCGGCTACCCCATTTTGTTCATGTGTGGTTGGATATGCTAGCATGTGAATAATACCATTGGAGTCAAGATAATCAGTAAAGGACCTGTACTCATCACCCCAGTCAGATTGAGTGCTCTTAATTAGCAAACCAAATTGAAGTTCAACTAGTCCTTTGAATTTGAGAAATGTGGGAAATGCATCAGACTTGTGTTAAAACAGGTAAACCCAAGTAAAACGCGTGTGTGCATCAACAAAGTGGATATAATATCTATAACCACAAGAGGATAGCACAGGAGAGGGAATGGGAACTTATGAATTTTCCCTAAGCAACAGGCAGAACAGAAATCGAGTAAGCTTTTATTTCTGCTGAAAAGAACATTACAAGTTGACATTATATTTTGCAAAATTTTTGCTGAGGGATGGCCAAGCCGCTCGTGCCATAATTTGCTAACAAAAGTACAAGTACTGCAAGATTGAGCAACTTGAACAGAATTTGGAAAAGTAGACTTGAAGCTGTGAGGATCAGCTGAAACAGACTTGTTCAAGAGGCTTGAAGAAGGAAAGGCATAGAGGCCATTCTCAAGTTTCCCTTCCATAAGAACATTCTTGGTGACCGATCTTTAACAAAACAAAGATCAGCATGAAACTCAAAAAATACATGATTATCTCGAACAAATTTGGAAACACTAATGATATTCTTGGTAATTTTAATAACATGTAAAAGATTATGCAAAGATAAGATTTTAGAAGTGGAATGAGAGGAAAATGAAGACTGGCTAATGTTTTGTATTCCTAAACCAATTCCATCACCGACATAGATTTGCTCATGACCACGGTAAGGTTCAAATGTGATAAGATTGTGAAGATCAGGGGTACAGTGATTAGAAGCTCCAAAATCTAAATACCAGTTGGTATCAATGAGGGACTGAGAAGAGGCAACAAGAGCAGACAAGGGTTGCTGGGAACGAGAAGGCTGTTGTTGAAACTGCTAAGGACTTTGCACAACATTGTTGAACCTTTCAAAACATTTATAAGCCTGATGTCCTGGTTTGCCACAGATCTGACAGTATGGTCTGTTGAAGCCATTAGAAGAACTATTGGAACGTAAAAATCTGCCACCACGTCCACCACTAGAAGGAGAGTGTGAACGACCCTGAGATCTTGAGTGTGGAGGACGAAAATGTGTATACCCAGAATGTTGAGAATATGTAGAGCCAAAGCGATTTTGGTGAGATGAGTTACTGTGAAACCATATTAGCTGAGGCATTAATATCTAACTGTTGGATGTGGCGTTCAATGCGAGCTTCTTAAGCTAGAAGTAGAGATTCAATCTCGGCTACGATGTATGAGTCAAATCTAGATGTAACAGATACGATGAAGGTGTCATAAGATTGAGGAAGACCTTCAAAAATAGCATCAATGTATTCTTTGACAGAAAGACGATGGCCAACGAAAGCAAGCTGATCCATAAGAAATTTGATGGTAAGAAGATAGGTATTTAGGGTTAGATCACCTTTCTTTGTGGTTTGAAGTTTGGTTTTCAGCTAGGAGACCTTTGTAGAGGTCTGTGTGGTGAAAAATGTCTCAAGAGTAGACCAAATTTGAGAAGAAATGTCATATCCAACAAGTCGAGTTAACAGTGAATCGATCATAGAAGACAATAACCATAAGAAGAGAAGCTGGTCCTGCTGATCCCAGTTTGAAAAGGCAAGGTTCACGTTACCAGATTTAGCATCAGTATCTGAGAGAAATTTCGAAGGTGGACTAGATCCATCAATATAGGCTTGAAGACGATGGCCTCTAATGGCAGCGAAGACTTGTCGTTTCCAAAGAAGAAAGTTATGCTCATCAAGTTTAACAGAGATAGAATGAGTAAAGGTAACAGGGGAAAAAGTAGAAAAGTTTGTGAAATCAACGAGAGAGACCATTTCAGGCTCTAATACCAAGTCAGAAATGAATATTCTGCTATATAATAATAATGGTTCCATCTTTACAATATATATACAAGGGGAAAGAAGGCTGAATTAACAACTACTTAACAACTCTAACAAAATGCTAACAAGCTATTCTAACAGAATGCTAACAGCTACTATTCTCTAGGAAATCCTGACCTGGCTTGCCCTTTAAGAAAATGTTTTTTCTATATCGATTATGATTAAGTGACAAAAATGCACTGCGACCTTGAGTCTGCAAAGCCCCTTCAACACAATTACTGCCCTGTGCACAGCCCCAAGGCTTGGACGACCCATCTTCAAAATAAGGTTTTAGACGAAGGAAGCATTTTCTGAACTTGGAAAAAATTCGCTGATCGGGAGAATTTTCTTCTTCAAATCTGACACATATAGGACATGGAGGGTCATTCTTACATGCTTTTGGTGTTATTTGATCCAAGCATTCTGCATGGAATGCATGACTACACAAAACGATTCCAGTAACTGGCATGTCTCCACTTTAGATAATCCTTCGAGAACTCCAAGGAAATCTCTGTGAAAGGAACCTCTCACGCAAGCAGAATCTGAAACTATCTGATGTACTACATGATCTGTTGAAAAGATCATAATCAAAGGACTTAGATAGATCTATCAGATCAGTACAACCACGAGTACTTGAACGATGTCTATCTTTTGGTGGAGTAATGGCATCAAATTCTGACAGCCGAGCAGGGGCAACACAAGTGGCTTCTCTAGTGGGTGTTTATGATGGAAAAGACAAAGGATGAATTGCTTTCGAGATAAAGCTCTAGCAGCTTGAGGGGTTACGATGATGTGAGTTGACCATGGACCCGTAATCACGGCGACTGTCTGACTGGGATGAAGTAGAATCCCGACCATCTCTAGCTGCCAACGTTCCCTGTACAGTTCTCAGTTCGATTCAGCAAGATGAATACAAACAGAATATGAAACAAAAAACACACACAATACCTCCATCATCGTTGAAAGGGATAACTGCCTCAAAACTACATCTGTTAAGGGCAGATGAATACAATAAAATTACCATCTTATAAAATAACAAAACATATATAGAAGAATATAACCTATCTCTTAAGCAAATATTTTCAATAGCAAAGCAATCTAATTAAAAGAACGCTTTAATTGTCAAGAACATTAGAGAGATTATAAGAGATAATTTCTATTTTCATAACCAATATCAAAGAAAAGGGCCTCATAAGTCATAACATCCAATGAAAGGCATGATTAAGTCATTCCCTAAATTTATTCTACAGATCTATGCTACATATGTCCCAACTACCTAAGTTGTCATTCTCTAAATTTATTCTTAGTAGATGCCACCTCAAGTTGTCGTATATTCTCATTTCTGATTTTATCTACTACAACATGAGCACACATCCATTTCTTACCATGCTCATTTTCACTGCATTCATCTAATGGACATTTTATTCTTTTAAGAGCACACACTGCCTATCATAAATCAGGTATAATATTTGTTTATGTGCAATTGACCTTTTAACCTTAGAGGAGTTTCACAAAATTCTTGTAGCACTTCTCTTTTTCATCTCGTTTGCATTACATTTAATTTCTATGTATTACATATTACTTGACCTTTAAATTCCAAAGTACTTCAAAGTTGTAACTTATGTTTTGTGCTCTTTTTGGTCTCATTGACTAAATTATGTCTTCAACAAATAACCTACCCCAAGAACCTCATCGTGAATATATATTGCAAGTTCATTTATGACTTGGGCCAAAAGATAAGGATTTAAGCTAGCACAGTGAATTGATGTCTTCCCATAGACATTATGAGCTTATTTGGGAGGGATTAAAATCAGATTAAAATTGAAAATATAGCCGTTGGAGTTGACTTTTATTAGACGAGTGAGACCCAATAACGGCTATATTTTCAATTTTAATTGGATTTTAATCCGTCCCAAACAAGCTCTATATCTCCGGTTTCTCTATCTCGATCTCACTCCCTCTATGATCCTTCTTTCAGGGGGATTTCGTGTTGAGGTGCTAAAAAATTTCATCCATAAACAATAAATAACAAACAGCATTACTAAAACATCATGCTAGATGAAGTGACCTTATGGATGAATTGAGCAATCTCATAGGAAACAAAGCAACATTAGCAAGGGAGTAGCAATTGACAAAAGCAAATGCAGTGCAACAAATAGATTCAAAATTGTTTCAAGATGTAATGTGGCACAATTGGTAAAAAAAAAAAAGTATGTATATATATAAAGAACAAAAATGCATACATCCAGCAAATTGCCTAGACAAAATAAATACAGTTCTTGGAATGTGAAAAATATCACCAACAAAATGGAATATTGAATTTCATACCTCTCCTTGAAGCACCATAATCATCATTAAATTTGAGCTCAAAAGCTACAAACCTCACAATAATAAAAATGGATTTGAACAAATCCAAAGCAATATTTAAACAATTTGATCAACATAATATGAAACCATAATATGCTTTCAAATCTCCTGAAAACAATGATAGTGCTTCCCTTCATTACAAACAGGGCGACTAGTAATTCAGTATGAACATGAGCTATACATAGAAGACTAGCAACAGCGACGCCTAGGACTCGCATACCGGACATATAAATAAATTCAAAAGAATGTCTTTTTTACTTGTACAATACATAATGCCAATGTAATCGTTTTCCAGTTCATCATACAACGATTAAAGGACGTTATCCCAATCTTACTTTTTGGTCATGTTTTGCTCGGCATGGACTTGACCTTCTCTTGGTCTCGCCTTTTGGTCTTTACAAGTTAGTATATCCTAGCATCAACTGGGATTTACACTATGAGCCTGCAATGAAACTCCTACAAGTCAAGGCATCTAAAGTGATGACACTAAGCATTTTTAGTTATCATAAACAAACGGAAGATACAAGTATAATGTGCAGCTTTAAGATTATTGAAAATGGTTGCACTACTCATAGTTTATTAGAACTCCCATATTTTCAAATAAATTTTTTGNCTCAAAAGGATAAATCTCACAGTAATAAAAAAGGATTTGAACAAATCCAAAGCAATATTTAAACAATTTGATCAACATAATATCCTTTCAAATCTCCAGAAAACAATGATAGTGCTTCCCTTCATTACAAACAGGGCGACTAGTAATTCAGTATGAACATGAGCTATACATAGAAGACTAGCAACAGCGACGCCTAGGACTCGCATACCGGACATATAAATAAATTCAAAAGAATGTCTTTTTTACTTGTACAATACATAATGCCAATGTAATCGTTTTCCAGTTCATCATACAACGATTAAAGGACGTTATCCCAATCTTACTTTTTGGTCATGTTTTGCTCGGCATGGACTTGACCTTCTCTTGGTCTCGCCTTTTGGTCTTTACAAGTTAGTATATCCTAGCATCAACTGGGATTTACACTATGAGCCTGCAATGAAACTCCTACAAGTCAAGGCATCTAAAGTGATGACACTAAGCATTTTTAGTTATCATAAACAAACGGAAGATACAAGTATAATGCGCAGCTTTAAGATTATTGAAAATGGTTGCACTACTCATAGTTTATTAGAACTCCCATATTTTCAAATAAATTTTTTGGTATAAAATTTGCAATAAAAAACAGCTTTGTAAAGAGAGGGTGCTTGCAATCTCAATAAAGTGTTCATAAATGGTGATCCTAAATCAACATTTGCATCCAGTTTCATACAAGTAACTCGAACAACAGTGCTAAAAACAGCCTCCTCCACTTTACCCTCCCTTAAACAAGGACCCATCATCACATTTACAGTTGCACAATCATAACACTCAAAAGGATAAATCTCACAGTAATAAAAAAGGATTTGAACAAATCCAAAGCAATATTTAAACAATTTGATCAACATAATATCCTTTCAAATCTCCAGAAAACAATGATAGTGCTTCCCTTCATTACAAACAGGGCGACTAGTAATTCAGTATGAACATGAGCTATACATAGAAGACTAGCAACAGCGACGCCTAGGACTCGCATACCGAACATATAAATAAATTCAAAAGAATGTCTTTTTTACTTGTACAATACATAATGCCAATGTAATCGTTTTCCAGTTCATCATACAACGATTAAAGGACGTTATCCCAATCTTGCTTTTTGGTCATGTTTTGCTCGGCATGGACTTGACCTTCTCTTGGTCTCGCCTTTTGGTCTTTACAAGTTAGTATATCCTAGCATCAACTGGGATTGACACTATGAGCCTGCAATGAAACTCCTACAAGTCAAGGCATCTAAAGTGATGACACTAAGCATTTTTAGTTATCATAAACAAACGGAAGATACAAGTATAATGTGCAGCTTTAAGATTATTGAAAATGGTTGCACTACTCATAGTTTATTAGAACTCCCATATTTTCAAATAAATTTTTTGGTATAAAATTTGCAATAAAAAAAGCTTTGTAAAGAGAGGGTTCTTGCAATCTCAATAAAGTGTTCATAAATGGTGATCCTAAATCAACATTTGCATCCAGTTTCATATAAGTAACTCGAACAACAGTGCTAAAAACAGCCTCCTCCACTTTACCCTCCCTTAAACAAGGACCCATCATCACATTTACAGTTGCACAATCATAACTAAATTTATTTCAAATCACATCATTAAACAAATTAAAAGCCTCCTCTTTAACCTAGAGCTTCAAGATTTAATGTGGTTCTAAGCCATTATTCTAATCTCTTTAGGGAAGTGTGAACAAAGTTCCATGTTAGCTAGACATGATTAGATAATGGTTTTATGAGGGAATTGAACTTCTCTTCTTAATTGTTAAACCTTTATGATGGAACTCCACCCAACAATTTGATATGTTCGATTGCACAACAATTCAAAAAAGTGACAAATGAGATGTTCGTTCGATGTTAGCTTAACAATAAGATTAATCTAACCATCAGCAATGAATAGCAGGATTAAGAAAACAGATTTCAAATGGTGCATCATAATATAGATTAGACAGGATAAGAACTGAAACTATTGCAATATACCAGCATAAAGTTTAGATACTCAAGATGCAAGCATACATGGAATATAGTAGTAGCGCTTACTCAAAAGTTATGACACTTCCAAGAAGGAACTTTCCTCAGCCATCTCCTCAATCGGGTAACCCCTGTATCTAAGAATTTCTTCATCACCATCAATCAAATTGACGATTGTACAGGAGTTGTATTAAGATACCTCGGATAGTAAAGCTTGAGCCCCTTGTCATTCTTACCTGTTGTAATCCGCAATACTCTCTTATATCAGAATCTTCAAAAACAACATGCAGATTTCACCAATAAAAAGTATTTCGTTGAATCGTTTGTCCATTGCAAGACTCTACTCATGAGTACAAGTCCCAATACTTTTTAATTACTTTTCCAAGGGCAAGAAATCACTGTAGGATATCAAAAACCATAGTTACGCATTCGGCATTCCTTACTTCCATGTATAAACACCTCATCTAAGCTTCATTAGTAAAGATTGTTTCTTTCAGTACCCCTCATTTAGACGAGAAAACGATAAAGAAAATTAGAGCAAAATTCAAATAAATTTGTCAATGAACTCGACGAAATGGCCGCAAGAACTAAAAATAAGGTGAAATACGAATCTATTTTTTAATGTCATTTACGTTCTTATATCCCAATTATAATTCAAACAACATCACTAATATTAATAAAGATTTCAATTTTCAAATATCAATTACCTTTTTCAAGTCGGTGGCTTGATGGTGCCTTCTTCAGAGACCAGAACCTAGTACCATTTACCGGGACGATTATAGTCAACGAACCTTTCAGATTCGACGGTGGAGCCACGGCAATGGAGCAGCTCGAAGGTTCGAAATCCTAGAAGAAACGGCATCGAGTGGATTAATTGAAGCCGAAAGGTGAGAGGAGAGAACAGCCAAGCGGAAGTTTCCACTTTTGTTCCCTTTTCACTCTTCCTTCTCCCCACATCGGCATCGGCGCATCTTCTTCGTGGGCATCGAGAAGAGAGAAGCTGGCGTCCAGAGAGAAGAAAGGATTGGAAGAAGAGGAATTGATTGATTGGAAAAAAAGGGGAAGACATCGAACTGTCAAAGGAATTGGGATTGGAGGTGTTACTATTCCGAAACAGCCGTTTCCCGTGTTTTCCAATTTTTATGAGTTTTGTATTGAAAACGCCCAAAATGACTTTTTCCTCATTTTGGTGTTTTGTGTATAAAAAAAATTTTCGTTTTCAAAAACGGGTTTTGGAAAATATGAAAGAGAACGCGTTTTCACAGTTTTGAAAAATCGAAAACAGAAAACGGTCCGAAAACGACAAAGAGAACAGGCCCTTCATTTTCTTCAAAATATGAGATTATTCCCCCAATTCCAGTCATTCTCATTTCTTCAAAATTTCAACATGCACTCTACTTACTCCAAAAACCTTTAAAATAAAAATTCGAATGTTATCATTTAAGGAACAATTTTTTTAGAAAGCACCAACGCTTCTATAGGATAAAGTCAACTGCAATAGTAGTATTTTTTTATCCAGGAGGCGTTCAATCATTTCAAATTACTGCAAACCCATTAATTAGAAACCCCTAAAAAATAAAAAATAAAAATTCTTAAGAAAATAGAAACTCTATATATATAATAAAATCTGCCACCAAAGGCTTAACAAAAATGGCAAAAAAATGCACTTCGCCCAAGGAATAAAAAATTAAACTCAAATACTACTACAATTGTAAACTTCATACAACAGAAAAATAAAACTTACCTGTAATTGTAGAGAGAGAAATATTAGCTTCCGATGAGCTGAGAAGAGTGAAGAAATTGTCTGCGTGTGAGACTGAGAATCTAAGGAATCGTGCTTTAATAAAATAATATTAGACGTAAATCAATTTTTTTTTTCAACTACCAATTCTCCAAAATTACTATTTAAAAATTCATTTTTTATTTTTCTTTTGTGGCTCATACAATGGTTTAATTTTTCAAACAGCACAATTTCCAATCTTTTTCATCCATCATATCTATATATATATAAAAATAGAAGTGCCGTCTAAAAAAATTTCTCGCCAAAATGTACTTTCCTCTTATGGAATTCCGATTTCAAACAGTCTGTTCGTCTACCTCACGTTTGCGTTTTATGTTTTCCAAAATTCAGTCCGTCTACCCATTAATCAAACATTACAGCATGCTTTTATTGATAGTAACAATTTCATTTGTTGAGCTTTGTGTTTGTTAAATCATTCTTTTTTTTAAATGTTTGGAAAACGAAAAGTCACTGTAACTTCCCTTTTATATATAAACTTCCGCCATATTTCTCTATGGGTACCATCTGTTGCACGATATTTTTTCTCTAGCTTGAAGGTATTGTATTGTATTGTTCTAGCAATTTTGTTTCGAATACATCTGTTAATGACTATTTTTTTTTTGTTTCGTGTTTCTTGATTTCAAAAAGTCTGTTCGTCTACCTCGTGTCTGCATTTTTTGTTTTCAAAAATTCTGTCCACCATTTTTTTTAAATGTTTAGAAACCGAAATGTTTTTCCATGAGCACCATCTGTTGCTCGACTTTTGTTCTCTAACTTGGAGGTATTGTATTGTTCTAGTAATTCTGTTTCGAATACATTTGTTAATGACCATATTTTGTTTTGTTTCATGATTTAAAATTTTTTTTCCTTTTATTTTTTACACTTTTTCTGCCACGTCGAAGATAGCATTTGTAAGAATATACGTCCATATGACATCGATATTTGATCTTGTGCTAAATATCAACGTCACGAAGACTAACTGGGCTCTGAAAGTGCGTGTTATCTGTGTTTACGAGCTGCCGAAGTTGACATATCCTAATGAAACATATAGGTTGGAGTTCATTTCGCATGATAGTAAAGTAAGTTTTCATATCCCATTTCAAACTTTACTAAGAGTTTATTTTATACATAATTTTTTGCTTTTTTTAGTTTAATGAATGTTGTTTTACATTCTTTGTGTTAGAAAATAAAGTATAACAGATAACCAAGAA